GGTGTAGGGTTTAGGGCTTTAGGGGCTTTGGGTGTAGGGTTTAGGGGTTTAGGGGTTTAGGGGCTTACGGTTTAGGGTTTAGGGGTTTAGGGTTTTGGGGGGCTTAGGGTTTAGGGTTTAGGAATTGAAGGTTTTGGGTGTAGGGTTTAGGGTTTGGGGGTTTGGGTTTAATTAGGGGCACTAGAGATGGCTTGCAAGAGTGTGCCGCTAGAGAAAGCTGCAGCCTTCTGCGGCTTGGCTAGGGTTTACTTAAAGGATCATGAGACTTAGTAACTAGGGCTTCAGGAATGAGACTATTTGGTTTCCAACTTTTGGGCTTCTACCTGGAGGATCATGAGACTTAGTAACTAGGGTTATAAATGAGGTAACTATACTTATAAGCAATTATAGCCCCATAACCTTACTTCCTAAGTCCCATGATCCTCCAAGTATGGTTTTATGTTTTAGGGTTTAGCGCCATGTTGAGGGTTCAGGGTTCCTTAAAGGGCTCTGTAAGGGCTACTAGAAGGGTCTAGGGTTTAGGGGCCTTGATAATCAGAATAGGGTTTTGGGGTTCCTTTAAAGGGCTCCTTGAAGGGCTCTAGAAGGACTACTATAAGGCTTTAGGGTTTTAAGGGTTTTGGGGCTTCGGGCTTCAGGGCCTTGTGCTGCTTGGCGAGGCCAAAGTCAATCACCTTGATCTGCGCGTCGACGTCCCGGTTCTGCAGGAGGAAGTTCTCCGGCTTGATGTCGCGGTGAACGAAGTTGTTGTTGTGGAGGTAGCCTATCTTCTTCAATAACCGGCCCCCCAAAAAAGGTTAAAGCTTTCTATCATAAACTGAATACATCTTGCCAAAAAGTTTTAGAAAGTTCTCCCATGGCTATCTAAGTAGCTCATGGCACCCAAAATCTGTTGCATGTAGGTTGCTGCACCCCTCTCGTCGAAGGCCCGGGCCGCATCTGAGCCTTCCCGAAACCCTAAACCCTTAACCCTTAACCTTAAGCTCCCTAAACCTCTGAACCGTAAACCCTAAACCCTA